AGGGCTGTGTTTTTTAATGGCTTTTGGAAGTCTTGGTCTCCGCGGAGTTGTAGATAAAGAGGTACTCTTATCTTGGTATGGTTTAGATTCAGAAAAAACTGATTAAAAAGTACGCCGCCAAGAGTTTCGCTTATCCATTTAAAAAGATGCAAATAAACAAGGGTAACTATGGTACGGCCCAAAGCTTATTCATTTCGGGAGGACCTCCAATAAAATCCAACCTTGGGGAAAGGTGGTGGACTTGATTTTTAAACGTCATGTAAAAAAATGTGTGATTAATTATACGAAGGGAGTAGTCTGGAAAGTTTTTTAGAACATTCTGACTGTTAATCTGTTAATATGTAAAAACCATTGATTGTCCCAAACGGCCACTTTAATTTCCCACTCATGCGGTCAAAATAGTCGACAATCGCTGCGCCCTTCCCCCTCCACTAAATCAACCTACTCGGTATAACACACCTACATGTAAAGTAAGTAGATATTAGCTTGATTGTATGCGTGCTAAAATGATGTGTTTAAACTTAGAAACAGAAAAATGAATATTCCGTGCCAGTTACCGAAGAAAAAATTACCACTGGCCCGGAGCGGAACGGCAAATAAAATGATAAATGTGGAAGTTTTCCAAAGCACAAAAAATTCAGTACAACCCATCAACACCATTAATCGTACAAACATCACGCGAGCTAACGATCTTATGACGATAAAAATTACATTTCCACGGTGGGATCTCGTAGCTTTCTCTGTTTCAGGATGACAGGTGTTACATTTTGGGCGTTATTTATTGTCGGCCGAAAATGGGGAGCCGAACATTACGAAAGAGCTTCGCATAATTGCCCCGTAACTTTATCGTTAATTTTGTCAGTTACTCATTTAGCTGGAATAATGATTATTATGCCCAATTGCGGGGATGTGTTAAACGCTGTTTGAGTTTCTAATTTGCATCGCCAATCTGTAGTTTCCGATGTTTCTGCATCGATTATCCTCGCAGGAATTTTGTTAATTATTCGTCCTGTACAATTATCTTATTGTTTTGAACATCCCGTTTATAATCAAAAGTTTAGAGAGAATTCAAACACCCAAGTAAAACGAAAAACAGGGATAATTCAAAGTTATCTATGCCAGTATGGAAAACAAACATGGAGAACTGGGAACCAGCAAACACGATCGTAGATTAAATGGGCGGTTAAAAATGTCTCTCATTTAAATGATTAAAAGGAATTTTCTCAGCATTTCTGCAAGGGGAAATTGTACTCCAAAGATCCAAAGGATTAATCTCAAGAAGGATAAGATGTATCAAGATGGACGTCACATCTTTCTTTGTATTTGATGGGTCTCATGGTTTGGGCAGTAAACAATTTCTGCTGTGTTTATTTGTCAATTTTGTCTGATCATAAATCCTCCATTGTGTTAACTTAGACTTATCTATTCCAGGCATTTCAGTTCTTGTGTGTAGAAGGGGCATTTTTACTTGAGATAATCTCTCGAAAACATCAATTCACCAATAGCTGGCAAGTTGCTAGACTGTTAGTAAGACCAAATGGCAGTCTTCTAAAATGGAAGGATGTACCGCCGGGGACTGTAAATGCCGTCAATTTCTTTGAAATTTTTTGCTACTGAATCGTGTCCATATGCCGATTTAAGTCCCATGACGTAATAAATTTAGCGTTCCTTAATTTCGTTGAAATTGATGAAATAAATGGGACTGGGTAGGCGTCCGTTCGCATCGGGCATTCAGATGTTCGCACAAATGAAACGTATTACCCTTTTTTACCTAAGAAAATGGCGGAACGTGAACGTTTTATGATTTGTTGAAATTCTAAAATTAATTTGCGCTTGGATTGCGGGTGTTAATATCTGTGTGATGGGCTGTGCTGTAGTCCCAGATAGTACTCAACTAAATGCGTATTACCAAGCCCTCAGGTTCATAGAGAAAGTTTTCAATCAGTCGCTGTAGTTCCTGTTACTTTAAAAAGTGAAATCCTTTGAGTCTCACCCACATAATTTATTTTGTTGGTGATTGAGTTTCTTAACTGACGTAAATTATTTAAGTATGTACTGTTCTTTTGGTCTGAGCCCACTGATCAACCCCTTTGCTGATTCCCGAACATGGTGAGCAATTACGTAAAGCAACGTTGGGTTTCCCGCATCGATAGCAGTGGATACGTTTGGGTTGAGCACATGCTATTGCAACGTGACCTGACCAGCATTTAAGCGGTTCGTCAGCAATAATTGAATCATGTCTTGCGGAAGTTGATTTTCGTTATTTTCCTCACTAATAACGCCAATATTACTATGTCGCGAACATTTAAGATTGCTGTACGGGAAATAACCCTCTGAATTTTGTGATATGCTAAATCCGAGTTTAGTATTGATTGTGTTTGGGATTTCCACGCACCTGGGAACGTTCTGGCATCAACAGAATGGCAAATAACCTCCAACATTATTATTTTGGCTAGCGTTACAGAAAGACATCAAAACTGTGCGATTCCTGTCTCTAAGCTCAGCTCAACTCAGGTTTTCAAAAAGAGCTGTTTCCCGTTCATAGTCAGCAATTACATAAAGTAACGTTTGGTTTCCCGCACCCATAACAATGGATACGTTTGGGTTGAGCACATGCTCTTGCAACGTGACCAGAATTTTAGCAGTTCCAACATGTTGTCAGCGCTATTTGAGGCATGCCTTATGGAAATTGACTTTTGATATTTTCCCCACTAATGACGTCGTTTGATATTACTGTGTCGTAAACATTTAAGACTGCTATGCGAGAAATGATTTCACATTCACATTTTCACATTACAATGCGAATAAACCAAGTTCAAATATAAACCGCTAAGCATTATTAAATAAGGAAGTAATTAAAGTAGTTAAAAGTTTCATAGAAACATTCGTTTTACGTTAAGGCATACTGCATGGGATTGTGATCAATTTTTATAAAAAGTTGTGAACCATATCACAATGAATGACAGTTCATTATAGCATACTTTCATCCATTATGGCGTACTAGGATAAAAGCAATTGTGGACGTTAAAATGCTAATCACGTAATTGACTCCTGAACATGAGCATCAATCTTTTCCAATATAAATCGAACAGAAACTGTGTAGGGAATTTTGACGCCTTCCCAATCGTACTAAAATATTTTTTGATTGGGCAAATCTTCGCTAAAATTGAAAATTCGACCGATCACGTACTTGATGTTGAAATATGTATACCAAATGCGCCTGGCCTACCCTTTTTCCCGTTTAGAAAGTCGCATTGCAGCATCTACCATAATCGAACGCGCCCTTTTATTCGAATAAGAAATTCAGTTTTCCATAAACTTTCGGAGTCGGACGTGCATGTGCGTGTTATTGTTGTTTGCAAATATCTTTAAGGCACTTTGATCGAATTAGAAGGATGTTATAAAAGGAATGGGCGAAAAGGTTTTACGTCCAGAAAAAAAAGGAAAGCGTTTCGGATTGATCGATTGGTTTTAGGAGTAGTGCGTCGATTTAAACGTTACGAATCATTTTCAAGACCGTGTCTGGACGCATTTTTCACGTAACCCGTAGATTGTTTCGGGACCGTGTGTGATTAATGATTAAACCTATGGAAACCAATCTCGATGAAGCTAAACGGAACCGAAATTTTTGGGGTCGCGTATTGTTTAACGTTCGGAACGTGAACGAAATGTGATTAGATCTCGAAAACATTACGGCGAGATAATATGCTTGAATGAGAAAATGGGGGGGCTTTGAAAGGGGCCTGTCAGAAGCTTTTAAAAAGATACAACTTCGCGATTATGCGTTACGAATTTTATTTCGCCAGAAATTTACCTTCTGATAAAGTTCGAGGAAGATAAGAAATGCGTTTATGTAAAAATGGCTAGGGGAGAGAATTTTTCGTTTCTAGTTTGGCGCGTTGGGCGTATGAAAAGTTACAAATTGCTTCACCTTGTTTTATCGTAATTCAGATCTTCGACATAGAAAATGCCAAGCGTTTAACAGAGTTCACTCCTGTGAAAATGCTTGCGAGACCCGTTTGGAGTGCTGCCAGCGGACTTGTTGATGTGTTCCAGCTCAGCAGTTCGCACACAATATGTAAGTATCTGGTGATTATATACCGTAACGTTTATTTTATTCGTGGACATTGCGGAATGGGATGGAAAATGTGTACAAAAGCATGGCCGCAATATTGTAATTATGTTTACTTTTCCCATGGGGGGAATGAAAAAATTCACTCACCTTATCATTTTTTAGTAGGTGGATAAAGGGTGTGTCCTTGGCAAGGGCAACATACAAATGACTCTGTCTGCATTCTTTATAGCTATACCTTAGAATGAATACGATGTTTTAGAAAGACCTTTATATACAGGGTGGCGCATATGTCCGTTACCCTTATGTAAACTGGAGTGGTAACATTTCAAACTGTTACAGGCTAGCAAAATAAAAAATGATTAGACAAGAGTGTGAACTCACATTATTCCTTATTACGTTAAAAGTGTTACCATCCTAACATCCGACTACGTGGGGAAATTAACATCTACGCTATCCTGAATTCAGGGTTCTTTAAAACTCTCAAACACATAATTATTATGTACAAGTGATAAACTTTAGAAGTTCATGATTGTCCAAGACTAGAATAAAAAATACGTTAGGAATGTTAACGTATGGCTTAGTTCGCCCCTTCAGACATTTTTGTTAAAACAATTTGTAAGGACAAAGGTGGAAATTCATCCCGAGACCCAAAATGTCCCACTGGCAATCAATCAATACATCTATCTATCTATAAATTGTTTTCATTTATCGACCGTTAAAAAGGGCGAAATTCGCTCCTAACTTTATCGGTCACAAAAAAATTTTTCAAATTCCCATGCTAAAACACACCCAAAGTAGACATCCCAAAACTCGAGGAAATGTAGAAACCCGTCTAAACTAAATTGCGGATCCACAAAATATAGGTTCAATCTCCAGAATAATTATACTTAGAAAGTGCAATTTGAAAACCTTATGTTGAACGCACCGAATTAAGACGTGCTTGTACTAGAATGCCGGAAGAGGAAATTGAAAAGCAAAGAATGCCCTTTGACGCTTGCGTGGAAGAATTCACCGACAGGTGACGCCATAACGCAGTGACAGTTACAATTGAGAAATATCAAACAATAAAAGCAATGAGAAAATAAACTGTTGCACCGAGTATCAGAGGTAAAAAATAAACTATAGTTTTATTGTTACTAATAAAAGTATCACATACATCCCCAACGGGAAAACTCTTAACAAGTGTATCATCCTAGAACTTTCCGGAAAAGATAGTCGTAAATATTTCTTCTGTCACTTGGAATCGCTAGCCCTTTAAAATCTCTGCTTTCCCTGTGTATAGTTGGAGTTGACGAATACAAGTAAATTTTCCTGCGGCAGTATGTCTCTTGAAGCTTTAGACAGTACCTCATTGGTTCTAGGACCCAGACTATTTTGCAGAATTGATTGGATTACAGGTGTAAATAAACTACAAACAACGATGGTATCATTTTGGACTAACTATTGCTATAGAAGTCCTGGATCGTGATAAATTTTGTATTAAATGAAAGCGATCTAAAGAGTAAAATGCCTTAAATAAATTTAA